GGATGCGGGGAAACCTGCCTGCTGTCACAAAAGCGCACACTTCCCAATCGCTCTGCTTTCTGCGTGCTCTCTTTATCATCGTAATCCTTTTCCAGCTTATTCCCACTGGCTAAAGATTTCCTCTCGATGTCAAGCATCCAAGAAAGACATAAGTGGGGGATAAAAGAAGCTGGCAAAAATAATTAACATATCTAAGTGTCCATGTCAAAGAGAGAGAGAGCAAGAGAGTTGGGGTGCCGTGATTGCTGTGATACACACACACACTCGTACAGCAATAATAAACACACTTGTCAGAAACGTACCCCTGCATGAAGCTGACAGCAGCATTATTGCAGCCATGCAGAATTTAATCTAAAGTGTCACACAGCAAGCCTGGACCACAGCCGAGGTACACGTTAAAGAAGCATCTGAAACCTCTGTATCGAACAATTCCAGATGTTGTGAGCGTGGGAGAGGAGATTTGTGGCGGTTATTGGCTCGTTCTGAATTTTTCTGCGGTCGCAGAACTTCATTTTCATTTACAAACTCATCAGGACTCGAGGGATTATTAAAGAAAAATCCAACCCTAGATACGTGCAATACCTGACTTTTCAAACTCCTCAAGCCTCTGTGTGTGTGTGTAGGAGTAGAGCAGAGGGAATATGGTAGTAACTTCCTGCCTCTGTGTCGCATCTGTGCCTCAAAAATGTCTATTTTCCTGAAGAGAGGAACAATAATGTAACTAAAGCTGACAAGCTCTCCGAGCTGAATATCGGCCAAAAACATGGAAATAAATACAGCAATAATCAGCCTGTGTTTAGGCTGCGCGACCAAAGATGCCAACAATATGTTCAAGGAGAGAAGAAGTCCCAGTGAACAAACGCCAAATTCAGTCCAAACATGGAAGAGCATGGGTGCTTAAATGAATACACAAAGACTGTGCTGGTTAGCCTGCGTAACCACGAGCTGGCTGTGTTTTGATATGCTCTGAGATCTCAATTATGAGCTGCCATCTGTGTTCAGAGCAATTTTGAGATATTAGGCAATCAACTTTTTACATCCCGTTGGGCAAAATCCTAAATAAGCCTAAATACACGGTCAAATAAACACTTTCCAATGCATAGCATGAACCACATGTGAAGACCTGCTGCAGGAGAACAAACTTGTTCTTTTTTCCATACGTGTTAATATTCAGAGGCTGTGATGAAGTGATTGGGGAACAAAATGGGAACGTGGGGAGGAGGGATTGTTGAATCAACCAAAAGCAGAAATGAAAGACAAATACAGATCGCATTACGCTCTAAGGCTGACACGATCCCGCTGATCTCGGCTTATTGAGGAACATTTGTGTGATGCTGAACCGAACTGAACTGTGTGTCACATAATTAGCAGGCTGTAACTAAAGCCTGTGTCCACGTGTTTCACTGAGCTCAGCGGATTGGTGATAAAGCACTAATTAGTGATGAAAAGGACATTGATTGACCAACAAGGCCACCTGATTAATGGCAGGATTCGATCGATGGAAATTGCAAACTTGTGAGTGTATGAGCTCACATCGATGGCGTCCACAATCTATTGTCCAAGCTCTAACATTTAATTGTTAGTGACAAGGGATGGATGAATGATTAAGTGCAGTTGTGCCCATTGTCACCTCAGCTCTGTGGGGTGCAGTCATGCTTTAAGGCAGAGACGTCAAACTCGTTTTACATCGTAGGCCACACGCAGCCCGCTCAATGAAACTCCCATTTCAAAAAACATTTCTATCATTTAATGACAGAATAATCTATTAACCTAATTACTTTGGTGTAGCATGAACGGCCGTGTTCAAAGTCCTTATCAGTAAAAAGAAATGTGTAATACAATTAGAAGTCCAAAATTTATGACTCCCTTCACGTTTTCCAAAGCTGTCCAGAGGAGCTTTATTGGAGTCTCTGCTAGGCCAATTCTGGCCCCAGGACCTGATGTTTGACACCCCTGCTTTAAGTAGGGTGGGTGGTGTGAGGAGGTGGCAGCTGCTCCAACGCTGCTGGCTGTGGGTAAACCAAGCCTCCTCCTTGAGCCTGGCTCTGCTGGAGGTTTCTTCCTATTAAAAGGGAGTTTTTCCTTCCACTATCGCCAAAGCGCTCGCTCATACGGGGTCGTATGATTGTTGGCACAGACAGACAGAGTGAAGGGCAGGATGGAAATGTGAGCTGTAATTTTCCTGTTATTGGGTCAAAATACGCAAAAATATTTTGTCTGCCTCACATGAGCTTTTTGTTAAATAGCAAATATGGACACATCAAACTAGCCTGATAAATATAACAGCTATCAGCATTTCCTCACAAAGGAGAAGAGCTTCAAGTTGGCAGAAAGTTTTTTCCATTGTTAATTTAGTTTTTAATGCTCAGTGATCGTAAAATGTTCTCAAGACGTGGCTGAACCCAAAGAGTTTGAGGATTTTGTTGGCAGAAAAGTAAATAAGCTGCAAGTAAAGTCCAGTGAGTTCCACAAAAGGTCAAATCCGAAGTATTACAACACCTAACACTGAAATTATCTGAGAAAAACTAAGTGGTTTTTCAATGAATTTATTCCTTGAATGAGAAATTATTAATATTTTTGTTATAAAACACGAAGCTGTTATTTAATTATTATTAAACCCATTTGTCTTCAAATTTTGACATTTTTTAATAAAGTTAAACGCAATAAAAACTTTTCATTAAGAGTGTTTCGTGGCTACACGATTTCTGGTCGATGATGAAGAACACAGAATATGCTAATACCTAACAAATTCAAATAACAGCTGTGCTCACTATTACACCCCATTATTCACAGGTTAAATTACCCACATACTGTACGCACTGACGCAGCAGCGTGTGCCATACAAAACCGCACAACTTTATGAAGTTACTTCAAGATGAAGCTGCAGATTTGTCTGCTGGAGACGGCGTCCTTGTTTTTATCCAGCCCTTTCACACAGGAAGTAAAAGTCAGGGTGTCGTCTAATATTATTTTTAATTTAATTTGGAGTTTTGTCATTGTCTGCCTGCTTGTTACGGCTTCAGTGATGTTTGCAGGCTAAACTGGTAAATGTTTATTGGATATTTGTGGCATTTATGGGAAATTTCTTGAGGGGAAAGCATAATTTTTCTTTTTAAACTCAGTTTATTTTGATTGTGGTTTCCTCTTCGGGGCTGTTGATACACCTGCTGTGTGTTTTTCTGATTACAGATGCTTGGTTGTGATCATTAAAAAAAATGTTCTGATGGTAAAGTTGTGGCTTCGTGTTCCTGTCGAGTCCCAGCAGAGAGAGATTGGCTTCAGGGGGGTCCGTATTTACAGCGGATACAATCTGCCCTCGGAAAAGTCTCATTTAAGCTGAAAATAGAGCTTCTGTTTACCTGAACGTTTTACTGCCTGTGCGTGATAAGACACTGGTTCGTGCTTCCCGGCTCGTGGGGCGTGATGTCTCATTTTATGTATTGTCGATAGATTTCCTAAACAGGTTTTTATATATATGCGAGTTGGCCACAGTGTCAGGTTGTCTTGAGCGAAAGACCCAAAGATCAGCTAAATTTGTGAGTCACTGCTGTCGGTGTTGAGTTAAACAGTTTGTGTGTCAGCTCAATGTCCAGTCTACAAATGGCCAGATGTCTCCACGCAGGATTTCTTGGTGCTGCGTTTGGTTGGACAAAAAGTTCAGAATCATTTTTAGGCGAGTAAAGAGTCAAAGTTTTTACCCCTTTTAATCCAGCCGAGAGCGGCGTGGCCGTTCGGCCGCCTCTCACAGCGTCTTAGCTCCCATTCCCCTGCTTTAATGCCAATGTGTAGCCTAACACCAAACGAGACAAAGCCACGTGCCACTTTAATTAAGCACCAGGCTGTCTCGTGCTGGAGTGTTTGAACCACAACCGGTACCATTAAAAATGAATATCTCTGTTAATAAAAGTATGTTTGTTTAAAAACACAACAGTCCCGTTTTCCTCGTGTTCATTATTCCTCCCGTTCTCTGCCCCGCTTTGTGCTCAACAACTTGTAAGTGAGTAAGTGGCTCCCACTGTCTATTAATGATATCCATTTATTTTCTCTTAGAAAGGATTTATTTTGCTGTCCTTGTGGAGACATTCCTCCCTCTGCTACTACTGGAGCTGTAATTTAACAACTATTACGAGTGTTTGTCTAAGGCCCCAAATGTTCAAGTATGCTTTAGGCCACGACGCTCTCCCTTCTTACACCCTCTTTTTTGCCTTCATCTGCTTCCCTTGGCACGCACATGCTCTCATTGTATTCATTTGGTGCTTGTCCCAAGAGCTTACGCAGCAAAGAATGACTCCTTTTCTGGCATTTTTCTAATTGATCCATGGCAGCCCAGGCTGTGGTCTTGCTGTTTTCATATCTTCAATAATTCATAAACAGTTCTGTCTGAGGGACTTCATCTCTTGTACTCACTTAAAAAAACCCGAAAAAACCCAAGATACAGAAAGTTGTGTTTCGCAGATGAGCTGTTCTTTATCTATAAACATGATGCCTCGCGTTCACTCGCGCAAGAAATCATCTTGCTGTATGGATGCAACAGAGAAAACGAATGTATGCATACGTTGGGCTAACACTTACAGGGTGTTTCTGTTTCAAAATAGTTTAAAGTCAGACTAGCTACAGCACACATGTAACGTCAACGGCACCTGGACTGTGTAAGTGATTTTCATGGTATGGAAGCTTGAAGTTATTACTCGCCATTAACGACAGACTCTCTCTGTAAAGCTAATGTTGTGAAACATGTTAGCTTTGAGAGCTATTCTCAATCAGGAAGACAGTTATTAGAGCTATTAAAATCACCATCCACTTTACATAATGAAGGCAATTAGCCACAGCTACCTTGGCTGGAAAGCATATGACAATTACCACCCACAGAGAGGAGATGGAAAATAGGTCACTCTGTCTGGCCGTTTGCAAACTCCCACGCACTTTGTGCAGGAAATACTGATGCTTTTTGCGTGTTTTCACCAGTTGACTGAAGTTTTTTTTCTTTCTCTCTCTGTTAGGAATTCTTCTCCAAGAGAGTTTCATGGAGGAGCCCGATGGCCTCGTGTCCGTAAACCTCTTAGTGGTGTCTGCTGTTTCAGCTTTTGCAACAGGAGCCGTCCTTTCTGGTCTCACCGTCTGCTGGATCATGAGTCACCGGCACCGCCACTCTCGCGGCTCCGGAGCCGGCGGCGCCCGGCGCAAAGGCGACAAAGAACAAAGCATGCTGGGACAAGGCCGCAGCGGGTCGGTGATGAGCGTGACGAGAACCAGCGGCGGGGAGCGGCGCTGTTCGCAAGCGGACAACCCCTTCGTCACGCCCAACGGCTGGCCTAAAGGAGAGATGGACCCCGGCTTGCTGCCCACGCCTGAGCAGACCCCCCTGCAGCAGAAACGGGGCGTACGTCTCCCGGACACCGAGTGGGACCAGAGTCAGACCTTCCTCACTGCCGTTGGGACTCCCTGCCCTAACAACTCCGTCATCTACCTGAGCTCCAAGTTTCTGCACGGTGGTGGAGGCGGCGGCGGTATGGTCCGGATAGATGACCCAGGAGAGGTGGTGCTGCCTCCACACACAGAACGCCATCGCTACCTGATCCTCGCCACGCAGAGAGGGGAGCACGGTAGCAATCGCCCCACCGGTGCGCTAAGGAACTCAGCAGGAGAATACATCTACCCTGCCACGCCGCAGGACTCCCCCGACCGACGGAGGGTGGTGTCCGCTCCCACTCCCCACATGGACTACGGGGAGCCTCGCTGGAGTCATGAGGCGCTCAACTACAACAGCAACAATGGCGCACCCTATCACCCTCAGCGCCAGGGCCTCATCAGGCCAGACATGCACGGGCCCCGAGGGCTGGGAGAACTGGCTGACTTCAGCCATCTTCTAGGAAAGAGCGTGGGCGAGCGCAACCCCAGTGGCCAGTGAGGCGACGCAGACGAGCCCTGACGCCAACCCCTTCCCTCCAACAGCAAACTGGAATCAAACAACCCTCAGATTCACTGTCCCGGTCCAACCTTACCCTGTCTGTCCTCTCTCACTGTCATTCAATGTTCAGACATCACTCAGCTGACTAAAGAGAGGGACAAAGAGAGAGAGCTGACAAAGAGGAGACAACTCTCTGTACATCTCCGTTCCTCCGTTCGTAATCCGAGGTGCACGCCTCGGCTCTGTCGGTGGATCCAACCGCAGAGCGTGACTTTGACTCCACGGGACGACCGGCGAGCTAAAAAGAGGGGTGCGGAGAACGAAGGCTCTTCATAGAAGGACAGTGTGGAGATTAAAAAAACAAACAAATAAAATGACAATTTGGCTTGCAGCACCAAATGTGAAAGGTCTCCCTCCACCATTCTGTTCACTGTTTTAACACCACGGCTCTTCTTTAAGTGTGAAATCATGTTTCTGCTTTGGTTTGTTGATGCCGGTGGCGTCCAGCAGACAACCATGTGCTTTTCTTTGGACTCGAATTGATGTCGCCGTCAAAGGGCCGCGACTCTCAGCCAATCACGCTGTGTGTATGTGCGAATACGTGTGGCCACGACAACCCCAGCCAGCGTCCTGTCTTAACTGTGAAGTACACCTGTATAATGACGATGGTAATAACATTGTTTTCTTTTTATAACCAATCACAGAGAGACAGACGGATTTTTATCAAGTGTCTACTTGAGGCTCTTTGTGTTCACCAATCGGAGGTTTGGATGGTTGGTTGATCGGTGGCTAGTGAGGAGGTCGGACTCGCTCTGTGAAAGTAAAAAAAAGAGCAATAATGAGCAAGATATATATAAGGATAAAGATAAAGCCAATTTAATTTGATATTTTTATATCAGCATTTTCTCAGCAAGGAAAACCGAAGCTTCGAGACGTCGGAAAGGCTCTGGGAAAAAGGAACAGTATCTCCACTCCACCCCCCTCCCTTGCTGCCTCTCAGTATGCCTGGGTCTGTCTGACCTGACCCGAGGCCTCCCCGGGCTCCGCAGTTCATTTGAAGGAGGGAATGTGAGCTCTGACTGTCTGCCCGGCCGCTTGGGAGCTCCATTCAGCCTCTTCTGTCCGACACTGAGACTCTTTGTGCCCCAGAGGCGGGAGGAGACTGCGGCAACAAATAACCGTTAAGAGTCAAGGACCTAGCCCACCGACACAGCCCGGCGGAATATCAATGAGGAGGACAGCAGCTCCATCCGTCACGAGAGACGCAGCGACTGGGCCCGGGCATCTCTCGCGCCTCACGCACACTAGCGATTCACTGGTTTGCCGGGACAGGGAGGAGCTGAGGGGCTGAAGCTGGGGCTGAGGCCAGAGTAGGGGCACTGCTCGCTGTTCACAATGGTCATCCCTTGTGGCTCTGTCCCTTTCTTGCTCTCAGTGTGTTTCCCGACAATAGCAGGATAAAGAAAACAGACGGGCATGGGTATATTGGGGTGTGGAGTTACTCTTTCACTGCGTTGTCTGATCTTTTGATGTTTCCTATTTTCATCAGCTCTCATCTGTCCTCGATTCAAACGTAGATAGCTTCATCTGGGTCATACGTTCGTAAAGGTGGTGTTTTTATGAGTGTGTGAGTCTCTTAGGGCTTGTATACATGAATGTGTTACTCATATTGAGTGCAACAAAACAGCTTTGATCAACATTACTTTCATTCTCGCCCTGCTTTTCTTTTCTCTGTTGAACCATTAATGACCGTCTAACACTCACAAATGCATGTTAACAATGTCAGAGCCCTGCGTGGGAGCGCTGTATGCTATAGAATACGTTTAAACCATTATACCGCGCACAAAGAAGCGAGTTAAAATGGACGAGCTGGGTTTTCCGCTTTAAATAATAGATGCTATCAACATACACAAGACACACATCTTTTGGTCCTGACACCAAACGGCCCTTTTTCTATTCAGATCAGTGGTTTTTCCATCAAAGCGGGACGCATGCCCGCCCAGAAACTTTAAGCTACCTTATAGGACCTCCAGGGTTACAACAGCTCGTCATTGGGGCAGTACTCTCTGTTGTACTGTCATTGTGCCCTGGAGGTTTGTAGCTTACAGAGACCAGTCCAACTCCTCAGTTTCATACCTTAATGCAGCAGTCCAATAAAACTATTAATCAACACGAATGTCTTTGAACTGTGGAAGAAGCTGCAGCACCTGGAGAGAAACCCACACAGGCACAGGAAGAACAAGCATGCAAGCTAGATCCAAAAAATGCTTTTCATTTCACTTTGATTTAACAGTTTGGTATTTCTTATATTAAACTCCAGAAGAGAAGGTCCTGTGATTAGACCCGAGGAGGTAGACTGCACTTGTGGAGACAGAAAAGCTTTTTCTTTGTACCCACACCTTTCAGCTTTCTGAGGATTTATGGCACCATTTCCAAAGTTTTTCAGTTTGTTTTCTGCCTTAAAACCTTCGATCGATCTCACTGCAGGGGTCGTCCAGCGTCCAGAGTCTTCCTGCCTTCCTGTGTGGCGTTTGCATGTTCTGACTGTGCCTTACTCCAGGTTCTCTGGCTTTTTCTCAAATGCATATGTTTTAGTTTGACTGGTGATTCTAGTGTGTCTGTGACTGTTTGTCTGCCTGTGTGCGTGAGCCCAGCCTCTCACCTGAAGTCAGCTCCATTCTCACGTCTGGCATCGTACATCGTCGGTTTCTGCTGCAGCTTCTTGCATTTTTTCACCTTTTTTCTTTTACAAAATAAGTAATAAACTTAGTTCGAGCGCATAAAAACACATGCAGGCATATTTTGAACAAGAACCGTGTGATCCAAGAAGCGTAAACAGAAGCATAAATCTGACCCGACACTCGATACCACCTGACAGTGTTCAGCTCCGCAGACACATTTCTGTTGAGGTTTAATACCCAGCCCTAACAAATGTACAGCCAGGCTTGACGTAATATATGAGACAGGCCAGTGAAAGAGATTTACGAAGACAAGGACAGAGGAGGAGGTCAAGCAGGCAAACGTGATGTTACTGCATTACCGCCTCGCCACCACATTAAAGCAGTGTATTCTTTACACATTCCACCCTGAAACAGGTCATTAGTATTGAGGATAGGAAGCTCTCCACCAGCCAGGACGCCGCTCGTCTCTCTCCCACCGCCGGGTCTGCGTGTGTGTGCCCACGAGGCCTCTCTGTCTCGCTCGGCGTGCCCAGCGAGGCGTCTCCTCGCTCCGCATCTCCTCCGGTTTTTTCGCTAAACATGCTTGATTAGGCAAAGTACATTCCCGGCCCTCTAATGGCCTGATGAGCCCCTGAGAAGATTACTGCAGACACATCAGCCCTGAGAGGGAGGCGCTGTTCAACCAGCTCCGCTAACCACCAGCAGATCACACACACACACACACTCGCGTGCAAACGCACAAAAAGGACCTTTAACCAAATTTGGGGCACAATTGAATTAGGATCCGCTCTGACTGGTGTACATGTTACTTTACTGACTGCATAATTTGATTACCTTAGTTCAACATTACACCGGAGCTAAAAAATTCACGTGGACCTCATGAGAGCTCTGTTTATTAAAGCCATCATCCTCCCCTTTCTTTGCATACTTCATGTCATTCCCGTTCCTCCTCACCGAGCAGCTGCACTTCTTCTCCTTTTCTTTAAACCCTTTGATTGTTAGCAGACTCTGCCAGCCCAGCTCTCATTGCACTTGTCACTATTAAAGGTTAGCTGGTTAATTTAATGATTCAGTAACAGAAACAGAAATCAAAGTACCCTCCACTTTATTTCACATTAAATCCTTGATGCGTAACAGTTTTTAGACATTTCCGTAAGCTCTCATGTGGCAAATTGCTTTCTTTTTCCTATAAGGGCTTTTGTTTTGTTTTATTTAAATGTAGCGTATACTGCCTCCAGTCCTGCAAACACACACACACACACATTCTTCCTCTTTATCTCTGCTCTGCACGAATCAACACACACATAAAATTTCCATCTCTGTCTTTGTGACCCAGCCAGTCTGTGATTTTATTTATTAAGATGTGTGTGCGCGCACTCGCTGAAGAGACCATACCTTTGTGTGTTGGGGTTGTTTGTGCCGTGTGGCCCAGTCACGTGATGCCCCCCAGCCAGTAACTGCCATTTTGCCCCACGGTGCTCCAGTGCGCTGTCCGTGCTTTATGCCCCAGAAAAGGTCCAGGAAGGAGGCTAACTCGCTTGAAATCCAGCGATGCACGGGGATGTGGTGAAACGAGACTGCACCTCCTCGGCCAACATGCGAGAAGAAAAAGCACAAACGGCAAAAACAAAATCAACGTTTGCATTTTTGTAAAGTTGTAGATGTATCTAGTCGGCGCTGACCATTTTTGTCATGTTTGCTTTTTTCTATTGTTTGTTTCTGTGGTAGATACTTGGTTTTAAGATTTCTATGGAATATTACTGTATATGATTTCAATTCTCTGATGTGCCCGATTTGATGATGACAATGAACCCGATGACTATCATGACGAGCAGTACTGTGAGCAGCACCCAGGTGTTGCGTCCTGTTTGGATCTGAATGTGAATGTGAATCGGAAGAAGAAGAGGAGGCGCAGAGCGAATTAACCACAAAGACCGAGCTTTGGGAGGAGGCCGTTCTCCTCCAAAGCGAAGGAGTCCTGCAGCTCCCACCGGAGGCCGGCCCGAGGCCTCGGGGGCGGGCTGTCATCGGATGACAACACATGTCCCTGCTACGTGTACATAACCTTGATGCTTACATGTAATTTAAGTGCAGTAGCTGCATGACGGCAAAGCCTCCGTGTGTGTACAGAAGTAGCGACGTGTGAATTTGTACAGTACATGCAAGTGTGTGTGCGCTTGTGTCCGCGAAGAAACCTGTCCGTCGTCACGCCAAAAGCAACACGTGCATGCACCCTACGACAACTGCGCAGGACACACAAACACAAAGGCCACACTCATACGACCACACAGACATGCTCCAGCAGTTGTTCGCCATGTCGCCACATTGTCCCGAGCTCTGCCTGTCACTCCGCATGGAGACTTTACTCTGTGTCAACTTTCTTATTCTAATAAACCACTCAGACATGGACTTCACATCGAGTTGTGATCATTGATTACGGCGTTCTAATTATTTTCGCTCCATCGCTGATCATATTTGCTTACATAAAAACAAAAGCCTGATACCCCGATACAAGGAAAAAGTGTTTTTCGAGCGTGTATACGATGCAGTGTGTTGTGTATATGAAACAAAGCGAGCTGATAGCAGCAGCTGTCACAATAATGTAGTGAAAGTAGAGAAGTAGTCGAGGGTAAAACTGAACCAGAGCGGATGCATTTAATTAGATTCCACAGCTGGAGCCACATTTCTGCGCTAATATTATTTTTTTTAATCGCACACACTGTCAGCACAAACTTTAACAGCGGTACAGTGTTTGACATTATGATGTCATTGCATCAGTGATGACCATGGGAGGCTGTGAAACCTGCGTTTTCCTACATGGGTGTCTGTTTTATCTGAGGAAAAAAAGAGAAAAACACCAGCTCATTTTGGATTTGACGGAGAAAATGTTTGATGTCTAAAAAAACGACTACATCTTTTAACTACAGTCCTTAAACGTTTGAGCTGAGGCGAGAGGCTGCTGGACTTTTGGGACAGGAAGGATGCCTCGTTCTTGTCTCATGTGTCTCACAGCACAATGTCTTTATTTCTCATGATAAATGTACTCTCCTGTTCCCCAAACATATCTGCAAACTGTGTGTTTTTCTTTCTTTGCGTTTGAAACTGATCAAATATTTAATACCCTGATTCCTCCTTTTGAAGTGTTATCACGATCTCGCTGAAAGCGGACTGGTTGCTTTTATAAGCAGACAGTTAGGAACAGATCAGGCACACAGTTCATTTATTCATGGTGAAGTAATAACTCCATCCAGCACTTCATTTGGGCAGTTATCCAACCCCTTCAGCTAAAACCTGGGCAAGGTCATATTATTCCAGTTTGCACTTTAGAGCCATCATTACTTTAGTTTCATCCCTTTCAGCTTACTAATTCAGCCTAATTTTACATGTTTAATGGGGACATTTATTTTGTTTTCATTTAATCGGACGATTTGCTCAAATGATAGTAATATATCCATCCATCCATTTCCTTCCACTTATTTCAGGATAGCAGGGGGGCTGGAGCCTGTCCCAGCTGTCACAGGCTGAGAGGCAGAACAGGCTGTGGACGAGCTGCCAGTCAGCACAGGACCTCACGTAGAAACACAGTCAGAGGATAACCGATTCACTCGCTGTAAAGATGCTGTTCGGTAACGCTGAAGATCTGACTGTGTTGTCACGCAACGTGACGAATGAAACGGAAACACGAGCTTTGAGAAACGATGATAAATTATAAATAAGTCATTCACTGGTTGAGAGAATTTCCTCGTGTCTTGAGAAGGAAAAACGAAAGCCTGAAAATCGAAGCTGACACAGATTGAGATCCATTGTTTTTTCTCTACTGCACAACAGCCCAAAGCTGCAGTGAGCAGTCGTTGTAGTGTCATCACTCTTTGTTAGGGGGTGCTACTGCTCCATTACATTCACTGTTATTGTTTCATTAAATGCCAAAACCCAGAGGCCAAACGGCATCTTTATATTCAGTAAAGCAATCATAAAAGGGTGTAAATCCATGAAATCCACGTCATTTACCTGTCACTTCATATTGCTCGGTGTAGACAGAGTTTACCTTCCACCTCTCCTCCTTCCCTCCCCCTGCTCCTCACTGGGCTATGCCTCCACTCTTCTACCTCCCTCCTTCCTCCCCATCTAGTTCTCCATCTCTCTGGGGAGCCTATCAGGCTATTTCACATCTGTTGAGTGGTGCAGGGCAGCGAGGACCTGTCAGGGACTCTCATTCGCTGATGGTTTATGGGAGTGAAGCCCTCCAGTGCTGCAGTACTCAAATGATGGAATGTGCCGGTGTCTCACACTGTGTGTGCAATCCCACATTTGTGGCATCCTTGTCCGCCGTCCTCTGCGGATCAAAACCGACTGCATTTGCCAGCTTTGGGATAATTTACAGCGTGTTTGCAGCCGCTCCGTGCTCTATCAGATCTATGAAAACACACAAGCATGTGTGTATGGCCTATCTATCTATACACACACACACACTCATTATGATGAATCTGATTAATGAAGAGGCTGAAACAGTGCCAGTGGGTACTCTTCTTGATTTGACTGCCTTCTACAGCTGAGCTTCACACTGTGCCAGCTCTCATTCCTCTCAGCATCTTTGTTTTCCAAATACTCACATTTTCTCTGACACCACTGAAAATGAAAAATATTCACACTTTTACACACACTTTGGGCTTGATGTGCACTGCATGAAAATCAAGTGCAATAATACGCTGTGTGTGTGTGTGCGGGCAAAGAAATCAAGGTGCTTTTTCCTGGTGAGTAGAGACACTGATGCACAGGCACAAGAAATGAGCTCACTAACTGAAATGTTCACACTGTTCCGGCCAGGCAACGAACGGAAAATGAGCGATAGAATGATTCGGGGCAGATGAGCGAGCAGGTCGACAGCTGAATACATTTACATTTCGTGCAGACCCTTGCTGTGGAGATGTGGCTAATGAGATAACCCAACTGTGCGCTCATTCAATTGTCTGCAACTCTGCTTATGCCCCTGATGATATTTCCCACACCAAAACATTCATACCTCATGAAACTCTTAATTGCTGTTAAAATCTCTAATAATTGTTCAATCAGAGCAATGTTTTTGTGCACGGCTGCTGGCTATGACTCAACACCAGCCCTGCTGACTCTAATGAGTCCACTACTGTGCCATATGCAGTACACAGAGAGTGTGCTGCATTGTTAGAGAAGAACAGTTTTTCCCTCAATCCGAAGAAAAATTGCCAATTGCAATAACAATTCTGACCATCAGAGGGCGGTGTAAGCTGCTGGGAAAAAAAACACCCAAACCCCGATCCCGAAGAGTAAATTGAATTATTCCCTTTACGTCCATTTGAGTCCTCCAGCTTTAATAACTAACTGCTACCATGTGTTGTTTTTCACATTTTATCGTGAAATGTTTTAAATATTTTAATCTCAGTGCCTAGAATGTAATTGCTTGGAATTATGTGATGAAATGAGAAAAGCACAGCAATACAAGGCACATAATGAAATTAAAACCATAAGGGAATGAAATGAACAATCAAAAGGAAGTGAAGGTAGATGAGTAGACAGCCAGGGCCATAAAGTCTAATTTGGGAGTTTGAGTGGGAGCAGAGAGCCCCCAGGTGGCCATCCGTGGAAGCTCAAACAGGAAGGAGAGAGTTTGTGACTCATTACTGTTTTGATTGGAAAGGATGGGTCGTGCTCGGTTTCTGCGAAGAACTGTGTGGTTTCACAGATAAAAGATGTTACACTGGAAGGGACTTGTGTTTCAGCATATTAGGATGTCTTGAGTCACCTATTATTATCTCTTGTAATCTTTAAAAGTGGTTCTCCAGTTTCCTGAAGGTCTTACAGACTTTTTGTGGGGATGTTGGCTGCTTTGACACATTTTCAGTCCAGTCTTGTGCCTGAATCTTTTTCTGCTCTTTGTTTGTTAAGCTACTCAACGCTGATCTATGAATTATTCAAGCATAAAACAATGCACCTATTAGAGAGATGAATCAGTGTGATTCTATATGTAACAGAAAACTTACCAAAGGATCAATTTTAGGTTTGGCAGCCTGTCACAAAACATATGCTTTCTTCTCACAGCTGAAACTAGGAATAATGCTGCAGATTGCACAGTTTGACACACCGAAAATAGTATTTGTCCCAACAAGATGATTCCCAAACAGCTAATAGTTGAAAACTTAGCATGTCAACTAATGTGACCTTAAAAACTTTTCAGGAAACTGGACAAAC